AGCCCAGCCTCACAGGAACAAAGGGCACTGGCCTAGGCAGCAACAAAGGATCTGTTGGACTCTCGAGTGAGTCACCCCCCTTCCCTTGGTCAGTTTGGGACTACAATGAGGCAATGCTCACCTGACTCTGAGGGTGGGGGCGGGCAAAGCCAAGAGGGAAGAAAGGACATGATAAAAGGGAGAGGTGTTTGCTAATCTCTCTCTCTACCACCTCCATCTATAGACACCACTACCAAGCGACTGAAGCGCTGATCAAAGGGGAGAGCCTGGCTGAAGGGGAACCAGCCAGCCTGTGATGAGACGCGTCTAAGTTTGTAAGGATACTGAAAGTGTTAAGATCAGCTTAGAATGTGTTTTTCTTTTATTTCATTTGACCAAATCTGACTTCTTGTGCTTTGACTTTTAATCACTTAAAATCTATCTTTTGTAGTTAATAACTTGTTTGTTTATTCTACCTGAAGCAGTGCGTTTGGTTTGAAGCATGTCAGAGACTCCCCTTGGGATAACAAACCTAGTACATATCAATTTCTTTGTTAAATTGATGAACTCATATAAGCTTGCAGCTTCCAGCAGACATAACTGGACACTGCAAGATGGACATTCCTAGGGTTGTGTCTGGGATTGGAGATATTGGCAAGAGTCATTTGGTTGCACAATCCAAGCAGTGGCTGACCAAAAGTGCTCACTCACATAGCTGGGAGCAGCTTACCTGCTAGAGGCTGTGCAGGAACAGCCCAGGAGTGGGGGTTCTCACAGCAGAGCAGGTAAGGCTGGTTCCCAGAGTCGAGGATTGGCATAACCTAGCAGATCACAAGTCCAGATAACACCAGGGGAATGTCACAATAGTATTTTTCAATTAATCTCATACAAGTACTGTAGTGCAATCTCTTTATCCTGAAAGTGTAACTTACAACTGCAGATATTTTTGTTACATAACTGCTCTCAAAAACAAAACAATGTAAAATTTTAGAGCTACAAGTCCTACTTCTTGTTCATCCAATTGCTAAGACAAACAAGTTTGTTTACATTTACAAGAGATGCTGCTGCCTGCTTCTTATTTACAATGTCATCTGAAAGTGAGAACGGGCGTTCACATGGTACTTTTGTAGCTGGCGTTGAAAGGTACTTACATGCCAGATATGCTAAACATTCATATGCCCCTTCCATGCTTTGGCCACCATGCCAGAGGACATGCTTCCATGCTGATAATGCTTGTTAAAAAATAATGCGTTAATTAAATTTGTGACTGAACTCCTTGGGGGAGAACTGTATGTCTTTGGCTCTGTTTTACCCGCATTCTGCCATATATTTCATGTTATAGCTGTCTCGGATGATGACCCAGCACATGTTCATTTTAAGAACACTTTCACAGCAGATTTGACAAAACGCAAAGAAGATACCAATGTGAAATTTCTAAAAATAGCTATAGCACTTGACCCAAGATTTAAGAATCAGAAGTGCCTTTGAAAATCTGAGAGGGACAAGGTGCAGAGCATGCTTTCAGAAGTCTTAAAAGAGCAACACTCAGATGCAGAAACTGTAGAACCCGAACCACCAAAAAAGAAAATCAACCTTCTGCTGGTGGCAGCTGACTCAGATGATGAAAATGAACATGCATTGGTCCACTCTGCTTTGGATTGTTATCGAGCAGAACCCGTCATCTGCATGGACGCATGTCCTATGGAATGGTGGTTGAAGATGAAGGGACATATGAATCTTTAACGCATCGGGCACGTAAATATCTTGTAACTCCAGCTACAACAGTGCCATGCAAATGCCTGTTCTCACTTTCAGGTGACAATGTAAACAAGAAGTGGGCAGCATTATCTCCTGTAAATTGTAACCAAATTTGGTTGTCTGAGCAATTGGCTGAAGTAGAACTGAGTGGACTTGTAGGCTCTACAGTTTTACATTGAAAAATAAAACAATGCAGTTATTTTTTATACATAATTCTACATTTGTAAATTCAACTTTCATGATAAAGAGATTGCACTACAGTACTTGTATGAGGTGAATTGAAAAATACTATTTCTTTTGTTTTTACAGTGCAAATATTTGTAATAAAAAATAAATATGAAGTGAGCACTATACACTTTGTATTCTGTGTTGTAATTGAAATCAATATATTTGAAAATGTAGAAAACATCCAAAAATGTTTAAAAAATGGTATTCCATTATTGTTTAACAGCGCAATTAATCATGTGATTAATCACAAATAATTTTTTAATCGCCTGACAGCCCTAGTAACTACCCATGTCAGTTTTTCCTTAGATGACCGTCTTTGACTTCCCATCATCACACACACTGACTAATTCCTTTGAAATTAGTGCCACGTGACTGCCCATGTGGTTTCCCAAGCATCTGAGAGATGTGTCCATAAAGTTCTTTATTTGCATTCCACAAGGCCTCTTCCTGTTTGATGCATTATTTA